AAAAAAAAAAAAAAACGTTTACTGAAATGATATGTTTTTAAAAAAGTTACACCAATAAATTGGTTTTTGTTGCACCGGCTTTTCGTTACAAAAGAATTGCTTTTTCCTTTTCCCTTTTCCTCCCCTTTCTCATTGCTTTCCTCTTCTCCTCATTCTCCTCCTTCTCCTCCTACTACTCCTCCTTTTCCTTCTCTCCCTTCTCCTCATCCTTAATGGTGATGCTGTTACTGTTGCTGGTGTTGCTGCTAATGGCATAGCTGAGAGTGGCAACAGTGATGTTAACGCGCTAAGCCCTCTGACCTCTGAGAGAGCCAGTAGCGATTTGGTAGCACTGAGAACCTTGAAAAAAAGTTTTGTTTAGCAGCTGTTATAAATGCTCTCCCAGTGATACTTAGAATACAACGATTTGTAACCAAACATTTTCATTTATAGTACAAAAATCAAACAAAATTGAACAAAACTTTTTTCGGTTTGCTTTTTTTTTTTTCAAAAACTGTGGATAAGTGTTTTTACTTCTTTCATTCTCTTTTTTTCAAACTGGAAATTTGGTTCTAAGTGCTGATTAGTGTGATTACCAGTAAGTGTCATTCAACATTTTCATGTGCACCAGTTTCCAAAAAAATCTGTGGCGAACAATCAGTACAACATTTGGAAGGTTCAGAATAACTGTCTAGGGAATCAAAGAGTGTTTTTTTCTCGCCTTCACGCTCAGAAAATAAACATGATTACTGTTAGTTAATTTCAAGCGGAAAATAGGTAACAACAAAGCAACACTGAAAATAAGATAAATAATTTTTTCTTTTTTTTTATGGCATTCAACGATTTTTTTAAGGTTTTTTGACTGTTGTTATTGTTCTTGTTGTTCCATGTGTTATTGAGGGAGAAGAGGAGATAAGGAGAATGGGGTGAAAAGGGTAGATGCTTTTTCTCTGTCTCTTTTTTTCTGCCTTAGCAAAAAAAATTGTTTGCTATTAATTACTGGTCATCAGATGTTGTCCTTCCTTGTCTAAAGGTACAGATGTTGTTCGTTTTGCTAGTAAACTAGGTGTAGATGTAACGGTATGATAATATTTTTCTTTTTATAGGCCGGTATACTACAGAAATCATACTGAGTAATGTCAAAGCCAATAGAATGTACAATTCCTGAACTGGTTGAAAAATGTGCAAATATAGACCGTATTGCTGCCATATTCGATTCCGAGAAGGAAACATATACTTTTGGAAAAATCTACAATGAGGTTGAATTACAGTTGGCATTGACCATTCAGCCTACTGACTTCTTTGTAATTCAACTGATCTAACTGGTTTGAAGTCGGTATGGCCATCAAAAATTGTTAATAAGTTTAAGTTTAGGTAAATTCTTTTGCTGCCGGTCTACTTTCGTCGGGTTTGGAAGCCAAGGATAGAATACTTATTTGTGGATCAAATTGCGCACAGTTATTTATATCGGCGCTTGCCTGCGCAAGAGCTTCGCTCTTATTCTCGTTAATGAATCCAAATTTCACTAGTTCTCAGCAACTGCAGTACGCTTTGTTTACGGTATGTTTAGTTACTAAAAGGCTAAAGTTTTTATATTTTTTTCAAAAGAATGCTGAAAAATATTGTTAACTGATTGTACTGAATGTGTAGTTAGGGAGAGAGGGAGGCGGGCTGAATGACTTTTTGGTTAACTTTTGACACAAAAAGAATCAAAGAAAACTGTTATTTTCAAAACTGCATAAAAATTTAGGGTGAATATAAGGCGATAATTTGTTTTTCTGCAAACAAGGAAAATGAACTGCTGCATAACTTATTAATTGAAATAGCTCCTGAATTACGAACGTCAGCAAAGGGACATGTCAACAGCAAAGCATTACCAAAACTGACTCATGTAATTATGGCTGAAGAAGAGCATAAACACGCGTTAGTTAATCTTTTTTTAAGTCTTAAATTCTAGCAATCAAGGCAGCTCATAGCCCAGCAAATAAGATTTTTGTTACACATATGACAAATGGCTTTATGAACTGATGAGCCTTGATGGTCATCCCAACAGTCATAATCCTGAAATACCTTGTCTTTGCTATCGTTTCTAGTGAACTAATTATTAGGTCAATTTAGATACTAATAGCCTTGCCGTAGACCCTCAAAGTTCTAAAAAATTCTCCATATTTTTACCATAAAAATTAGATTACAGAATGACAGTTGCAGGGGAACCTTTACACTATCAGAAATCTATGGAAGAAGTAATCGTGAACGCCTTGAAAAGTTACATAAAATTACAAACGGCAATCCGCATGAAATTGCTGCACTTCAGTTTACTACAGTAAGAACTAAAATAATTTGAGTTGTACGAAATATTAAATATAAGCAAAAAAGAAACAGTAAGTAAGCTTGACTAAAGCTGTTTTTGTTTAGGGAGTATCAGGAGAACCCAAATTGGTGGCTCTTTCACACTATCAGTTAATTAATGGTTGCCAATCAGCTGCAGAAGGGATTGGAATTCGAAAGGAGGCAGGTTAAAACAAAACAGATTTGTTTCAGTAGTTGTGAAACTAACAATTTCGAAATTCTTAATAAAAACTTCAAAATTATTTTACATTGTTGATAATAAAAGTTTTGTGTTTTTTCAGTGATTTACAGGAAAATTTTACTTGTCGGAAGATAACTTAACATACTTATGACATGTAAAATTTGATTGTTGTGTTATGTTTAGGATACATTTTCTTGTGCCTTGCCGATGTTCAAAATAGCAGTTTTTTCTTTAGTCGGTTTATTGCCATTTGTAGTGGGTACACGGGTGATATTTCCGTCACCTTCACCACTTCCGAAGTTTTTGTTTAATTCAGTTAACACTTACCAGTAAATTTTTTTATTTTACTGTTTGTTTATAAAAAAGAAATTAATCCTTTTTCTTCTAAAGAAATCCTAACTTTTTAAGAGCAAACCATAAACACAGCTAAGAATTAATCGTTGATAAACTGTGTTTTTCAGTAACTAAAAATATTTCAACAAAACGTCATATGGTACCACTGCACAACTTTTAGATGTACTCACTTGCTAACAAATGCCGTTGCCCTGCGATTGATAATGAAAATTGTTGTTGCACAAAAGGTACAACTTCCATCGATAACCACCGTCATTTTGGCTGGTGAACGGGTACCCGCAGAACTTCTTGAGAACATCGGTACTCATTTGAGGAGTGTCAAAAACATTGTGGTAGGGATTTATGGTAAAATTTTTTTTTCTTGATCTAACGTCCAAAAATACCTATCAGTGACTATGTATATAGCAGAAAAACACCTTAAATGCTTCAAAACCGAATCGTCATCGCTGTGGGTTTGTTTT